AGACCCAAGAGCATGATCAACCGGAACATTGCTCAACCAAGATTACTTGGCTGCACACATGCTCATCCCACTGCTTCTTTTGTTCCCTATGAAATCCTGAAGCTTTATTAGTATTGGAAAGACAGGACTTAGGACACTGGTCCCTGTTAATGTCCACTCAGGCCAAGCTGAACAAATTCTTCTCTTCTTTTATGACCACCCATCTCTCTCACTGGACTGTCAAAGTGGTGGGTTGCTATATTTGCTTTGTTGGAACTTTTTGAGTTATAAGTATTCATTGACAAGCAAAAAGATGAATAAAATGGGTGAGTATGATACTACTATTCAGCCCTGAAAAAGAGAAGGAAAGTGTGCTGTTAAAGCAATGTGGATAAGCCAGGGGACATTACATCAAAGGAAAGAAGCCAGGCGAAGGACAAACAATTCCCAGCCTCTTTGCAAGTGCAACCTAAAGAAGTCAGTCTCGCCGGGTGGTGGTGGCGCACGCCTTTAATCCCAGCACTCGGGAGGCAGAGCCAGGCGGATCTCTGTGAGTTCGAGGCCAGCCTGGGCTACCAAGTGAGTTCCAGGAAAAGGCGCAAAGCTACACAGAGAAACCCTGTCTCGAAAAACCAAAAAAAAAAAAAGAAGTCAGTCTCATGGAAACAACAGAAAGTTGATTGTAGGGGCTGTGAGAGTAGAAAAAAAAATGGAGGGGATTTAGTTCCAAAGGTATAAACTTCTAGTCATTAGTACGGGGTAGCTGGTTACTACTGTGCTGTGTACTTCAAATTTACTAAGAGGAGGTCTCTCTCTCTTTTACATTTATTATTTATTGTTTGTGTCACTGTCACTGTGTGAAGGTCAGAGGACAACTTGGGAAAGTCAATTCTTTCCTACCATGTGGGTCCTGGGGATTGAACTCAGGTTATGAGGTTTGGGAGCCAACATCTTTATTGGCTGAGCCATCTCTGTGGTTCCTAAGAGTAGATCTTGGAGTGTTTTTACCACACAAACAAAGGTAACTGTGAGGTGTGATGAATATGCTCATTAACTTGATTGTGGTCATCCCTTAGCAAATGTGAGCATCTATCAAAACATCCTGCCATACACTTTAATCACATATAATTTTTGCTTGTCAGTTATACCTCAACAGCCTGGAGGCAACACTCTAATCTCTCCTTTTTCCCTCAAGCTTTTCTGTTGGCCCACCCACCTTTTCTGGCCTGTGACCCACATGCTGGTCTTTCCAACTGGTTCCTCCATACCTCACATTCCTTGGTGAATCCTGCAATTGCTAATTCACTTAGAAACACAAAACTCAGCCTAACAGGGCTCAGTCTACCATAAGTCCCCTATTCTCTCCATTTCCTGGGCACGCTGCTATCACTAGAGAATACAGATAAACACAGGCTGCCTTGGAACCAGGGGCTTGAAACTTTTCATGTATTTTATGTAGGGATACCTCCTTCTCCATCTTATGCTTTCATCAAGTATTACAAGAAGACACATCAGGACTATTCTCTTGACAGTTTCCAAACTCTCCTCTCCCTTTTGCCTTTAAGATTCCCTCCCAGGGCTAGGCATGGCTTAGCAGATAAAGTGCTGCTTATACACATGCATAAGAAGGTTCCAAGTTTGCATCTACTTAAAAACCAGGAACCCCAGTACTGGGGGGTGGGAGTGGAGACAGGCAGGTACCTGGGGCTAGCTGGCCAGTCTAACAAAAACAGCTAACTTCAGGTTAGGTGGGAGATCCTGTTAGACAAAAAACAAGGTAAAGAGTTGCAGAAGAGGACACCTGACCTCTGACCTCCACTAGCGAACACATAATTACATACACACACAGAAAGAAAGAAAGAGGGGGGAGGGAGAATCATGCTTCTGCATTCACCATGCTTCTTCAATTTTCTCTCATGTCTCCACAAGCTCTTTAAGGGATCATTTCAACAACTCCACAATGAGTGAACTATCTGTTTTTATGCCTGTAATTTCTCAATGCATTTGCTATTGAAAGAAAGACAAAATAAAAGGAAGGAAGGAGGGAAGGAAAGGAAGGAAGGAAGGAAGGAAGGAAGGAAGGAAGGAAGGAAGGAAGGAAGGAAGGAAGGGCTGGCTAGTAGTGTTTTGTGAAAGAGCCATGCATACATGCCTCCTCCCAAGAAGTGCTCTACTCAAAGCAGAGCAGTTGGTTGGGAAGGACAGGAGTGGCTGAAACAGAAGACAGTTCTGTTTGAAAACAACAGATGCCCTTCGAGTTATGTCTAACTCCTTTGCAAGCTGTAGCCAGAATAGTACGGGTGATTGTGCTAAAAAAGGAAGTAACATTACCCTCCAGGTGCGTAGAACATGCAGTAAGCTAATGCCCAACAAATGTCAGTTATTATTCACTCAACGGGCTTCAAGGAACATATTCAAATGAGTGTTCTTCTTTGAGTGAAGGTGTAGGAAAAAAATTCTCTAATGAGAAAACATTTCTTTTTTTTTTTTTTTTTTTTAATTTATTTTGCAATACAATTCAGTTCTACATATCGGTCACGGATTCCCTTGTTCTCCCCCCTCCCGTCCCCCTCACCTTCCCCCCAACGCCCCCCCCCCACATTCCCATCTCCTCCAGGGCAAAGCCTTCCCCACAGACTGAGGTCAACCTGGTAGACTCAGTCCAGGTAGGTCTAGTCCCCTCCTCCCAGGCCGAGCCAAACAATCCTGCATAGGCCCCAGGTTTCAAACAGCCAACTCATGCAATGAGCACAAGATCTGGTCCCACTGCCTGGATGCCTCCCAAACAGATCAAGCCAATCAACTGTCTCACCCATTCGGAGGGCCTGATCCAGTGGGGACCCCTCAGGCATTGGTTCATAGTTCATGTGTTTCCATTCCTTTGGCTATTTGTCCCTGTGCTTTATCCAACCTTGGTCTCAACAATTCTCGCTCATATAAACCCTCCTCATTCTCGTTAATTGGACTCCCAGAGATTTAAATCAAGTAATATAAGGGAATTCTAACCAGGCCAGGAAGTTTTCTAATGTGTCTGAAGACAACAAAAATAAATTATAAATACCTAGCAATATTTAAGCCAGTGGTGTTAATGTTCAGAATTTTTTTCAATGGTTTCTTGAAACCACATTGGTTTCTGTTCTTAGCCAATCTCAAATGTGGGAAATCCTTCACACAGTCTGCATGAAAATTTCTAGTTAGATAAGATCTTCTGCACTAACAGCGTTCATCAAAGTTACCCCTATGGCAGAAAGAAGGTGAATGTATTCTAGTTCTACTAAAGGTAAACATCTTTTTCTCACTGGTGAGTAGCATGTCATCAAATACCTGATACCAAAAAAAAAAATCATATGCGTGTGTATTAATGATTTGTTTTTATTTATTTGGGTTTGTATGAGTAAATGCCAGGTTGGGGGAAAGCAGAAGAGGGTGTCAGATTCAATTCCCCTGGAGCTGGAGTTACAGTATGTTGTGGGGCTAGCCCAAGATGGAGTCACCTATGATAGCAAGATAGATGCTCTTTTGAGTGTGGGGATCCACCCCTCTGGATGTTTTGCATGTCTCAGAGGTCTGCTGGCCCCTTATCTCAGAACAGATTGACCGCAGCCTCCTGCTATCCTAATAGCCAGAGGCTCTCCTCACAAAATTTGCTTACAGAAGTTCCTTTTGCCTGCTACAGTTCCTTTCCCCTTAATGTTCTCCTGCTAGCCTAAAACCACTCTATGACACTCCAATAAAAACTTATAAAAATTCCCTTTTGGCAGGGCTGTTCTCCCTTCTCTTGGAGACAGCCTGGAAGTTCATTCCCCAAAATAAAGCTTAATCTTGGCCTCAGTATGCCTCTGAAGGCAGTAATTGCTCTTAATTTCTGAGGCACTTCTCCAACCCCACACATATACATTTTAAGAAGCCAAAGGCAAAAATCACTACCAATCTAAGCACTCTAGGATCTTGAAGACATTTTGGCAATGGCCCACAGAAGTGAGGCATGTATGCATGGCTCTTCCATAAAGTAACATCACTAACCAGCACTTTTTCCCCCCAATAGCAAATGCATTGCTCTTCTGGCTACTTCTGGAAATTGCTTTACCTGACCTATACAACTAAGAAATCTCATAGTTAGTCAAGGATAAGGCCTTAAAACACACTGCTAAGCCCCACAGCTTAAATCTAAATCATTTCCTGGGGAAGAGTAGCAAGAAGGCAGAGCCCCTTCTGCCTGAGTAAGTATATAAGGTAGAAGGAATAAGATTCCTAAGACATATCATGAGGAAAATTCAGATTTGACAGCCAATAATTTTATTGAGCTGGAGGGAATGACTCAAAAAGGTGCAATTTTGGGAAAACTCCAAGCACTTCTTTCTGTTCAATACCTTTTGTTTTAGAAGATCACATTATATATAGTTTCCATCTCTCAAAATCTAATATTTTATAATTTTGTAAAAGATTTTATTATCATTTTGTGTGTGTGTGTGTGTGTGTGTGTGTGTGTGTGTGTGTGTGTGTGCTGGGAATCAAATCAAGGTTGTCATACATGCCGGACAGGCTAAGGTGCCACATAGCTTTATAGCCATGGAGTTAATCTGTGGAAATCTGTCCTCTCTATCACTGGACACAGCTGAAGTGTGTCCAACATGTGGAATGCAACTCACAGAGTGCTTCTAAATTCCCCACCTTCATCTCTGTGCATGACTTGTTACTTTTTTTTTTTTTTTTTGGACAGGGTCTCATTGTATAGCCCTGGCTGGCCTGGAACTAGCTATGGAAACCAGGTTTGTCCTGATTTTACAGTGATTCTCCATGCCTCTGGAGTTCACCATTACACCAGCCTTTTATCTTACTTTGCAAAGTAATTTTCTCTGGCCATATCTTCCTTTTAGATATTTTTTACCTTGGTAAATTCAGACATCTCTACCTTGATTTTTCAATCACTATTCACAAACATAAAAACTAACTTTATTGTGATTGGTGTAACTAAGAAGGAAGAAATAATTTGTGCAGACACAGCATTGGTTTCTGAATGATTGATTTTAATGGTGATATGACTGATTCATTCAAAAAAGTAAAATTTACCATAAATAGTCTTGCATTTTATACTTCATAATGATGATTTTTTAAGCAGATAAAAACATCCAGTTCCATCAATCCTATACACAAACTACTAAAACAGCCTCTTCGAACCCAAATCAAGTGAAGAGGAAATACATTCACTTAAATGAACCCTTCTAGATGAGTGACACAAATACACATTTTGAAATCATAATGTTCCCGGTTTTTAAGGCAAAACAGTTTTGTTTTTTGTTTTTGTTTTTTTACCTCAGACTTGGAAAAATCTAGGCAGTTGCCTATAAAATAAAGAATCTTTTAAAATTAATCTTTAACAAATACACAAATCTTGATTGACTTAATAGCTAGAATTCGATTTTATTTGTGAATGTGATTACTAAAAGTTTTCTATAAAAGACCTTAATGACTGTATTAAAATTAGTGTTTGCTAACAACTATGAAGAAACTTAAATAAAGCCTGTATCTCGCCCAGTGAACTGGAATTGTGCTCTTCTGGGACGTCTTAGGGTTCCATTTCAAGTTCCCTTTTCAGTTCTTCCAGTTATTAATTCCCACTGTATGAATTTCTTTTGCTTTAAGTCATATTGGAAAATTTAAAAACAAAATTCATTGAGTCCCAGTAAAGAGACACTGCAGGAGCCCCGTGTCAGGCATCGGGATGCTACTGCAGTGGACTTAGATCAACAAGTGCAATGGTAGGAAGGTGAGGTATCAAAAGGGTGGCGGCTTCACAGCATTAACGCGGGGCTCTGGAACTCTAGAATCCCAGTTTTACTCCTATAGTGGAAAAAAAAAAACCCTCCAACTTGTCAATTAACTTTAAACTAAATGCAGTCACACTATAATACTTAGAGTGTTTAGATAAATAATATAAAATATTTGATTTTTAAAAAACACTTGTAATTAAAGAAATTTAATTTCCAGTTTTGCGAAGTTCAAGAGTTCACTGAGTATGAAGCAAATGGGGCTATGTGTGTTCACCGCTGGTTACTTCAGGACAGGGCTGCTTGCTGGGTCACTGGACTATTATTGCTTTAACCCTGCGTTTTCAAAATAGAAACAGAAAAACTGCTTAAGTCACAGCTGTTTACAGAAATTTTATGTCGCCAGGTATCACCGGTTTTAGATTTAAAAGATGCCCTGTCTCATAAATTGAAAGTCTTTCTACTAAAAGAAGCATTCGACAAAACCTGGTCCAAACTACAGAACGAAACCAGAAGCCGGTATGGAGGGCACACAGCACCCACCATGGCATCTCCATGAGCACTGTCATAGCAGACATGTTTCTTCTGGACCAACGCAAAACCCACCTTATCTACTGACCCCCAGCTTTCCTAATGACAAGAGCTGTCATTAAAAGAAAAATATATTCTAGCTTGGAGGCAGAAAACATAGTTTATCAGTTGAATGCCTTAAAATCGTCTGATGTGATGATTTTCTCGTGGATTATTATAAAGTTGACTACATTTTAGAAATAAAAGTACAAGGTGATGATTCTTGTTTAAAATTTAATACTAGCTGGGCAGCAGTGGTACATGCCTTTAATCCCAGCACTTGGGAGGCAGAGCCAGGCGGATCTCTGTGAGTTCGAGGCCAGCCTGGTCTACAGAGCGAGATCCAGGACAGGCACCAAAACCCTGTCTAGAAAAACAAAAAAAAAAAAAATTAATACTAAGTGACAAGGCTTCACATTCATTATGATTCTGGCCGAACAGTTTAGATTTAGCTAAATAATATTAAGAGGGGAAAATAAAACAAAACAAATTTCACTTGAGATGAGAGTCAGAACTGCAGAAACTACCAAATGGTAGTTTCTTTTAGTAAAAGCACGCTGTGATACCACAGCGCTCTTCCCGGGCCTTCAAACAGTTCATGTGGACACAAGCGTGCTTATTTTCCCCTCCTCACAGGCCATGAGAGAGGGAGAAACGACCAACTAGCAGGCTAAGAAAAGCCAGTGGGCAGATAACAGGGTCAGGATGCCCCCACTCGACACTAGTCCATCCAGTGGGCAGAAACCTTAATTTCTTAGGACAGAACCAATTGCTGGCTATAAACACCTATGTACCGGGCCTCTGCCATGGCTGTCACAGACTCCTTCCCCTGGACACCTTCATCCTCCCTTGTTTTCTGCACTAGTTACTGGTGACTGAATCACACCAAAGAACCAAAGCATTGATACAGGGTCTTAAAACAGCAACATGCATGCCGTTTGACAGCACGCACAGTCTGGGAAGATGGGATAAAAGATTATATATCTGAAAAACTGAGTTTGTTTCTTCTCCTTTCTAAAGAGACGGGGTCTTGTTCTTTTGCCCAGCCTAGCTGCTATCACTTGAGCTTAAACAATCCTCCTTCTTCACGGGCACAGGCCATACACCCAGCTGGTTCCTAGAATTTTCTAATAATTTAAAAGAATCCATAAAATCAGTGAGCTAGAAATTGTCCCTTCTCCCTTGCTTTTGAAAACATGAATGCATAGTTAGAAGCAAAAATTAAGATAGAGATATTCATGCTCAACATATTTTAAACTCCCTGAGATGACACACAGAGACACCACACCCACAGAGTCACAGCAGGAAGTGGATTATTTACAAGGATAACTTAAGAGGAAAACCAAACGTCCATTCCAAAAAAATATACAAGGTAAATCATATCCTTGTGATTGGTTGTTGCTACAAATTTATTCATGTCAAGAAAATTATCATGTTTAAAATTCTCAAGAGAATTTTGGCACAAGTCAAATCTCCTCCAGATTAAGTACCTATTTGGTTTTTTCATTAGTCAGGGAGGCTAATTCCTTCACTGGCCTCTTTCCCAATCACCTGGGTCCCCTCTGTCCATAAAAACCTTCCCCAGCTTCCAGCCATCTTAACTCTCTCCTCACAACTGCTGTACAACACTTAATATATCAACCTCTCTTGTAACTGTATCTGCACAATTCATGCAGCTTCTCTGACACCGACTTAAAAGCCATCACCCCAGAGAGGACCCCATACAAGACAAAGGAAACAGATGAGGGTAATACTTTTGTGCATCCTTATTTTCCCCAGGATTCTCGACAGCAGTTAGTGTTCTAAGGCCTCCAAGGCTTTATGCCTCAGATGCTCATCCAAACACTGGATGGCAAAGGGGTCAACATCCATGTCAAACTTATTGGCGAAAAGGTGGTGTTGGTGAAGCATCCAGCTCAGGTCGCCAACTCCGAAAACACACACGGAGCGCACATGGACTCCGCTGCACGGTGGGTAAGGAGCGCCTTTGGAAACATCACCTTCAAAGTACTGCCACTTGACAAACCGAGCGACGGCATTCATGTCAGACAAGTCATACTTATGGCTCGAGGGGAGAGAACCGGGGACTTCAGGGATTCTCTGGATACTGGCCCAGAGGTACTCATCCGGGCTGTATGTATCCTGTGCCCACTCCATGAACTTTCGGATATTTTCACTTTCTAGCACATAACCTACATATTCCCTACTGACTACGAAGTAGGCACTGCCTGAAAAGAGAGGAGTTTTCAGTGGAGGTGGCGCTTTGGCTACCCCGGTGTTTGACAGCTTCCCGTCAACAACAGCGTATCGTTTTTTCCACCTTTCTTCCTTGTTCTGAGGCATCTTCTCAGTTTCCAGGTTGTTTTCACCCGAGAACGACTTGAGCTTCCTGACAATTTCTAGGTTGGTTTTAATAGGGAAATCCATACCACAGAGATTGATCAAGTACTTCCAGTTTGCACTCATTCTGTACAGGTCCTTCATACAGTTGAGGTCAGCCTGAACCCGACTCCAGGATGCATAAACAACATTCTCCAACTGGCTGGCCACAAAGACATTACCAAAGCAGGATGCAATGCCCACCACTGCGGCTAAGAAGGATTCCTCTGCTTTTTTGTCCACGTGAATGCAGTAGAAATTCTGAGGCATATAGATGGCCCTCAGGAGCCTGTCAAGCATTTCAATCTTGTGATGAACCACTATGGAATATGCAATTGGAAAGCCGACCTCTTCTTTACTAAGGGGCTCTACAATGTATTTGCGCGTCCTGATGAAAGAGGCGCAGTCACGGGTCATGTTTATATAGTCATACGGTGTCCACCGCGGGCGCTTCCTAAATTTCACTGTTATTAACTCCAGCTTCACCTTCTGGATTTCATCTGGGTCATTCTGTAAAACTTTGGTGCAATTAATGTTGCTATCAGCATCATCTCCAGCAAGCTCCAAGTGTCTGATACTAACAAATTCAGGCTTCTGATGAATTCTTAAAACAGAGAAGGTAATTAGAGAGAGGACAAGACCCACAAAATAGTATTTTGCGGGATAAGAAAAAAGTCTCCTCCGAAACAAGTTTCTCAGCATTTCAAATAACAGTCAGAGACTTCCCTTTGAGATGGGGCAATATTGTAGGCCTTGGATGCCAATGGTATTTTCTCCAGTTTCCCTCTGTTGTGGCCCGATGAGTTGCCAGTTTATCAGTGGGACAAGATATCACTGGACAGGACAATGCTAAAAAGTAATAAAAAGAAAGACATCAGCAGCTATCAGCAGCCAGGCGATGTGCAAAGGTCAGATCCGTTCTGCTTTTTGCTGACTTAGGGCTGTGATACACTTAGAGATAAGTTTAAAAACAATTGTGTAGCAACACAAATTTTGAGTATTCAAAGTAGGCTGGAAAGGCTTAGCTGAACAGAAGCCAGATTGGTGACTGTGTTGGGTGGACCCCTAAGTGCAGTTCCACAGTGATAATATGTTTAATAAACAATACAGCTTTGCATCTCCTGCACTGGCTATGACAAATTATAAGCCCTTAGAAAAACAACACGGGCTGGGAGTGTAGTTCAGTTGGTAGAATGCTTGTTAAACATGCAAGAAACCCTGGACTCAGTGCCCAGTATCACGTAAGATCAGGTACATAACACATCTGCAACCTCAACACACAAGCAGAGGCAGAAGGATCAGAAGTTCTAGGTCATCCCTGGACACATAGTAAAGTTGAGGATACCTGACTCAAAATTAGAAAAAAATAACACTTCTATAAATTGTCTCAATTCAAATGCCAAGAGCCCAACCAATTTTCAGTATATAAAACGCTTATAAACATTCAAATATTATTTGTGTGTGTGTGTGTGTGTGTGTGTGTGTGTGTGTGTGTGTGTGTGTGTCTGTGTGTGTGTCTGTGTGTGTGTGTGTGTGTGAGTGTACAAGGCACACACACTCAGGGGCAGGGTGAGTATGCACATGCTTGTATATGTGTGGTGGGTATTGTTTCTCAGTTGCTCTTTGCCATGTTTTTATGCAAAAGGGTCTCTCATTGGCCTACAGATGACCAAGTATGTTAGGTTGTCTGGCCCCTGAGCCCCAGGAACCCGACTTTATCTGCCTCTTTAGCACTGAGATGACAAACTATGCAACTTTGCTTTTTGTTTTTGTTGTTTTGGGGATTGAATTCAGGTGCTTAAGTTTATAAAGCAAGCTCCTTCGAGTCTTTTTTTCCCTGTAAGCTTATTTTATTTTTAATTATGTGTATGGGAAGGCAGCATGTCCACATGAGTACAGATACCCACAGAGACCAAAGATTCCCTGAGCCAGAGTTACCCATGCAGTTATAAGACATTCTGTGTGGGTGTCGGGAACCAAGCATGGGTCCTTTGCAAGAGCAGCAAGTGCTCTTAACCACCGAGCCATCTCTCCAGCACCTACTGGTTTTATTTTGTTTTAAGAACAATTCTGTAAACTCAGTGTATGAAAGCCTTTAATCCCAGTACCCAGGAATCAGAGGTAGTTGGATGTTCGTGAGTTTCAGGCCAGCCAAGGATACATAGTGAAATCCTGCTTCAAAAACAAACTAAAACAAAACAAAACACAAACAAAAAACATTTTTGTGACATGGCAATTGGTTCCGTAACTATTCGAAAAATGGTCAGAGGTCATTCATTTTATCCATACCAGACCTGAAGCAATTTTTTTGGGGAGGGGGGAAGTAAGGAGGGAAGAGTGTTTTTGTTGTTGTTTGGAGGCCAGGTTGGCCTTGAACTACTGATGAACACATTGCTTCAGCTTCCCAAGTACTAACTGGGATTGCAGGCATGAACCACCACGCCAGGCTTGAAGTACATTGTTAACACCAGAATAAACAATGCCACTTTAAGATACTTCATTAGGAAGCAATTTGTTAGACAAGCATTTAATAAGACAAAGTGGAAAGTAAATACTGATAGGATGACAAAGAAAAACATTCAGACTTTTTACCATTTAGAATCACAGGACGTCTGAATTCGTCTGGGCTCTGATTCCTGGCGACATGCTGCACTTGTTCAGAGGAGCTACCGAGCTGCCAAGTTTCTATCGAGCACCAGGCATCCAGCAACGATGACATGTCCCAGCAGGCTTTTCAAACAGTCTGCAAAATGAAAAGGGAATTGAGTGAAGGGGTGCTAATGGTGTGTGTCTGTAGTATGCACATCCCCAGAAAGCAACGATTCTAGTATGTTTATGCTCCGCCCTCTATCTCAAACCCGTGGCTAACCGAGGTTTCTAATCTTAACTTCTTTTTCTAATACTGTATGTGTGATTTAGGTTAAAAATTTTCCCCCTCTCTTTCTCTTCCTCCTTTGAGAACCAAACCAAGGGCCTAACACAGGTTAAGCTTTCTAACAGAAACTCCAACAGCACTCCCGAAATGAGTGCTAGGGAACAATTTAACAGTCTAATCTAACTGGAGAATCCCACCCACTTGTCCTCATTATAAAGACTCCCTGTGCTCACTGATATATTAACAACAACCTCAGTTAAGTAAGCTGCTCCCCTCATTTTCTTCTAATCACTAATACTTAAAGTTGCTACCACTAACATTAACAATGGGGGCTTGAGAGATGGCTCAGTGGTTAAGAACGCTTGCTGTGCTTCCAGAGGACTTGAATTCAGTTCCCAGTACCCGTGTCAGTCAGGTGGCTCAAAACCACCTGTAACTTCAGGCACCATACTTACAACTATACACAAAATACATAATTAAAAATAAAATTAGTATTAATAGCAAAATACCAACAATATCCCTTTAAGTAACTCTTTCCCCATTTTAGTTTAGGGAATAAGGAAAAGTACTTCTGTCCAATCATTCGCAGACCACCATAAGGCTAATGAAACAGTGACTTCCCCTTTTTTCTTTCTTTTTCTCATTTTGTGGCAAGATCTCACTTTGTACCAAGGCCTTCTGGGTATTTGTAATCCTCCAGCCTCAGTCTCTAGGGTGCTGGGATTACAGACCTGATAAAAGACTTGAGTGGCTTCCCACAATAATACAGCCTCTTAAAAACAGTAGTCACAAGGAGTCTTGGCAAGACAGGGTTGAAGGTCTGATTTCCAGAGTCAATACGATCACAAGATGTCCAGATACAACAACGAACATTTTTACAAGGCACGCAAAGAAATCAAGTCTGCCCCATACATAGGGGGAAAGTGGTCAATTCTATGCCCAAAGAAGGCCAGGCGTTAGCCTTAACAGACTAAATAACTACCAGACATCTATTCAAAAAACTTAAGAATTAAAATCATGAGATAGCTAACCAAATTAAGAAATTGAGAATGGCAGTAAAAAGAATTTTAAAAAAGGACCAACAGAAATCTGGAATGGACTGTGGACAAATTTCTAAACAGTCTTATTAAATGAGAAACACAGAGTCAAATACAGGGGTGAAAGTCGTAGAGATCAGAGAAATAGTGAGAGTCACCAGCTAACCTTACTCATCACATTGCTGTAGCTTCCCAAGAGAACCAACTTCTTCCTGTCTAACCTGCACCGTTATTGCCTTGCTGTTCTGCCTTCTCATTGGCTCTTGGCCCAGCTACCTCACTTCCTTGTCACTGCCTGTCTGTACAGACCTCCAGGTCTCTATGGTTTTGGTACTGGGATTAAAGGCGTGTGTCATCATCTTGGCTGTGTCCTTGAACACAGAGACTCTGTCTGCCTGTGATAGGGTTAAGGGCATGTGCTACGCCTGAGTTTTGTTTATGGCTGACTATGACCTCTGATCTCCAGGCAAACTTTACTTATTAACAAACAAATAAAATATCACATTTCAGCACAAATAAAATATCACCACAATGGACATATTATAATCACTAAATCAGTGGTTCTCAACCTTTGTAATGCTATGACCCATTAATACAGCTTCTCATGTTGTGGTGACCCCCCCACCATAAAATTATTTTCATTGCTACTTCATAACTGTAATTTTGCTGTTGCTATGAATCATAATGTAAATACCTGTGTTTTCTGATGATCTTAGGCAACCCCTGTGGATGGATTATTTGACCCCCAGAGAGTTGTGACCCATAGTTGAGAATCGCTGCACTAAATGGAATGGACACTTTACAACACCTGAACTGACTAGAGGGGTCCAAAAGCAGGGCTGAGCTCACATGACAAAGAGAACCAATCAGTGAGCCTGAAGAAAAGTTAAGTGACAGTATTCAGTCTGAGGAACAAAAAGAAAAACAATTAGGGAACACTGACTGAGTCTCTGAGATCTGAGAGACAACATGAAAAGCATCTGGGCAGATGGGAAAGGGGCATCCCAGAAGAAGAGAACAGAGAAAGAGGGTACAGGAAGAATTGTTTAATAATGGCTGAAAAGCTTTCCAAATTAGCTTTCTACAAATTTATCTATGTACTCGAACAGCTCAAATAGGTCCATGCATACAAAACAGTATGGCCAAACAGTTGGGCAGTTTCTTATACAACTTAAAGCACAGTAACAATTCAACCCAACAATCACATTCCTGGTATTTACATGAGTGAGTTGCAAAAGCATGCAAATCAATGTTTATAGCAACTTCATTCAAAATTGCCAAAATTTGAACATACTCAAGATGTCCTTCAATAAGTAAATAGATAAGCATATTGTGGGACAGCTGTAACTGAGAGCAATGAATTCACACCTCAGTGACTTTAGCAAAGCTAAAATATGCACAGCCAAGACATAAAGAACTAGAGCTGTAGTTCTTGCAGCAGGCAAGTTGAGCACAGAAGTCATTTCCAAAGTGTGGGGGCTTTATGCAGGGAGTCTGCACAATTTATGTAGGGGTGGGCTCACTCCTCAATAGGCTCAGTTTAAGGTCATGGAGATTACAGTGATGGACGGGAGCATTTCTGGACATGCTTAGCTTATTGTACCATACAGTTTTGGCTCGGAACAAAGAAAAAGATAGGCCAAAAATGCATTAACATAGGAGTGTCCTCCTGCTAGGCTCAGCCCTGCTCAGTGGCTAACACATCCACACAATGGAACATTATTGAGTTGATATAAGAAGTTATCCCATCATAACAGAAAGAAGTCAGTTGGAAAAGATGGCAAACTGTCGTCCCAAGCACAAGATGTTCTGGCAAAGACAAAACTGTGGAGAGAGTAATAAGATCAATATTTGTCAGAGGTGTGGAGGAAGGGAAGGGGGAAGAGTAAGCAGAGCCTGCTCACTGGAGAATAGGGGAATTACTCCGGGTGACCGTGGTTAAGGGACATTATGTACGCCTCACAATGGTCAGGAATTAATTGCTGAGCACCAGTGTGCAGCTCATCAGTTCAGGAGAGCACTTGCCTGGCAGGCATGAGGTGCTGGGTTTAATTCTCAGCATTGAGGGAAGAGGTGGGGTTGGGGGGTCAGTTACAACAAACACACCATACTAGGAGGTGAGAGACAGCTCAGTGCTTTAGAGCGCTTACTGCTCTTGCAGAGGACCAGGGTTTGGTTCCCAGCACCCACGGCAGGAAGCTACCACCACCTGGAACTTCAATTAAAAATGATATGGCACCTTTTTTTTTGGTCTTCCATGGGGACCCCTATGTACACGCACACATACACACACACATTAAAAAAATACTAATACAAGATGTTCATAAGAGGGAAAACAGTGTGTAGTATGGGAACTATTTTTCTCTGCAATTTTTCTATAAACCTAAAACTGTTCCATAGAAATCTATCAAAATGAATTGTACACTCTGGTTCACTGAGTTCCAATGAATACACACTCACAAACTGTCAAGTACGGTGGTCAGTGCCTTTAATACCAGTCATCTTGGGTCAGAGGCAAAGGTCTGGGCTACATAGGGAGACTGGGCCTCAAAAAACAAGACAAAACGAAACAAGAAAACCCACAAATGACTGTCATCAAATGATCAGTAAAAACATTGAGAAGGTACGACTGTCCCAGGAAAGCTGAATTCATGCTGATGTAACTGCTCTACAAGGGACAATAAATGGAGCCATTTGGCTGAAATAAAGATGTCAGACAGTAGGTCGAAGCTGCACCAGCTAAGACAACACAGCCACGGCAGTACACACACAGAGAAGCGCACAGATTGTGAACGGTTGTTCTCTGCGATACTCAGCCGCCTGACTTGAAGGACAATTGAGCAAACTAATCATGCCTTTGATTCTGCACATTTATCATCATGGTAAATGGAGGAGACGGCAGTTCATTAACATTTTTCACTCGTCATCCCAGCCTCAACCAGGAGAGCATTCTCTTCAAGTGTGGAGACAGGAAAAGGAGACATCATCGGGAAAGGGGTTTCCATGAAGAATGGATGTTTGAGGGAAATACGCATGAATACTGTGCTAACAACTTACTAAAGATTCTTAACTTACATACTAGAACAAAATTGCTCCCCAGTGAGAAGAGAGAAGAGAACCTGAAAACAGAGGTTATGAGCATGTGAGTAAAACAAACAGAAGAGTAAACTCTAAAAGGCGACTCTTGGGCTTTTGTGTCAGTAATAAGGAAAGTTGGTAAAGGAAAGGGGACGAGAGAAGTATGACATGCCTCAAGGACAGTATGATCACTCTCCGTGTTACAACATCAAATAAATAATCACCCGGGTCAAGGCGGGAGGCAGCTGGGTACTCAGTGGAGTGGGAAGGAAGACACGGACGAAGAGAAAGGAGTGTGCCAGGACAACGGGCAGAGCAGAGGGAGGGCAAGAAGCCCCGAGTCCCAGCCCACCCCGGAGACAGGAAGAGCAGCTCTGTGTACACTGTGGGATCTTCAAAAGGTTCAGGGATTGCTGCAGACATACCTACCTTTCCAGGGCGGGTTGGAAGCTGTTTACAAAACCGTTGGGGTTCCACCTCAAGCCTCAAGCTAAGAGCAAGGTTTCCTCTCTGCAGAAGTGCCCCAGGAGAGTCTGTGACCCCCAACAGAAAACAGAGAGCCCCAAGCATGTAGAACAGTGAGGACGCGGTCTAGCCCACTTGTTTTCCCTATCAGCTCCTGGAATTGTTGGTCATCGGTGTGAGAGAGTTTATTTACTAGGGAATCTAGACTAAGAGAAAATGAGACTTAAATAGCTTTCTTACAAGTGAGTACTTCTTAAGTGTTCAAAGGAAACGGACTTTAGGAAGAGG